AGCGATACAAATCAATTCCCACATTGGCTGGAGGTTGGCAGTAAACCAGGTATTTGCACAGTGCAAAAAATCGATATAAGCATCCAAATTGGTTTTGTATGATTTAGCAGCTTTTGTTAGTGCGACCTACAGATGATAATAAGTTAAAACAGGTAAAAACCAATTTCTTTGCTGTTTTTGATCGAGATCTTGGTCGAGACCTTCTGCCTGAAACATTACTGGACGTTGGTGTCCGCGATTTCCGACTCCGCGAGCGGCGTGCCTTTGTTTTCACATGCCGCAACTTTCTTTAGAAGAAAAGATAGGTGTGGTAGCACCGTAAATGTTAAATAAACAAGGACATAACAAATCTAACCATTTTTTTACATCCAGCGTTTTACAACCGGCTTGATCAATTCAATAGTTTTTCTAAACGAAATTCACAATAATTTCCATAACCAGCTTCTAAATCTATATTTTTCTTTAAAATTAACATAAAGCAAAAATATTTGTTTTAGACCGAATGCTGATTTAGGATTAAAAGTAAAATTATGATCTTTTGGTCAGTACAGATTTAAATATATATTTCTTAGATCATAAGAAGACTCTATTTCACCATTAAAAATAAATGCGGAACAGCACGCCTCCAAATTCAGTTTTTGTTACTAATTAAAAATATTGCAAAAATAATAATATAAGTGAGCTGAGGCTGGATTCATTACAAGAGTAATAAATTAACTTTTTACGTTAGATCGTGAACTAATAGTGTTACTTAAAGAAACCATAATAAAGGAAATTCAGGAAACCTAGATTTCGTTCGTTTTGGCATTTCAAAAAACTGTCGGCGTCGCGAATTATATAAACAAACAGAGTAAATCAAGTATATACCATTTAGTTAAAAAACTACAGAGTATATTTTCGCATATTATATGATAAGAATAAATGTTTTGTGTTATGATGAGCACATAACAGGAGAATTTTTGTTCATGAACAACAATAATTGGCATTTAGTTAAATTGGGTTTTGAGCGATATTTGGAAGATTTGATTAACTAAACCATCAAATAGTTTGTATATTGTTCATTTAACTTAACCTTGAGGCTTATATGTTTCGCTTAAATATTGTTAATTTGCATCACAGCAACGATTGCTACATCTGCTTGCCTTTTCAGATCACACGTCTCTTCCTGAGACTCTCAGAGTTTTGAAACTAAAAAAATGAAATAAATTCCTTAAATATGATGTTTTCTAAATTGATGTCATTACATAATACTTCTATTTATTCGTGTGGTTGCTTTCAATTTTCGGATCTTTCAACTTTTTAAGCACAGAAAAATTTGGTAAATTTTAAACTTCATTGTGCGAAGTCAGGGAATATTCTCACCAATTTTAGGTGTTGAGTAAATGCTATTGTTGTCATGATATCTAGCATGTGTCTACTGATTTAAAGTACTCTTTAATTAGCAAATGTGATTTCATTGCAGTTCAACAGCTTTTGTTCTTTTACAAGTTCTACTTCGAGCTGTGGCTTCGTTCGTCATTTCTACAAGATGCATGAGTAAGTACGAGCCAGATTTTAAGGGATTTCTGTACGATTTGTCTGTTCTTTACCCAAAATGAAGCACAATCTGAACAGAATTTGATATTGAATGTGCTGCGAACGGATGTACTTAAGTAGAACCGAGATATCTGAGACTTTTCCCACATTTAGTCCCTTAACCAACTGAACCAAAAATTGTGTAACACTGCAGCAATGTGTCCTCAACAATTCTCACTTTATCATTAAGAGTACCGAATGAGGAAAAGATGAATAACATGCAACATGCCAAAAAAAAACAATATTTGCGGTCTGCTGCGTAATGGTAGCAGTAGTTGAAAACGATATATCCAATAAGCTGTTGGAGGTGCAAATCAAATCAAGGAGTTTCACATAATGAACATTACTTTCACTGGATTACTCTACGCGATTCCACATTGGGATCAGCCTTACGATAGATATTGACTGACGACTGTCCGATTTACACAGCGCTAGTCTTCTCATTATTTCAGTGCGGCAAATCCACGGGAGCTACATGTGTGGGCACCATTAATCTTTTGTAATAGCTTAAATACAGTGACGAGACAGCCCCAACAAGTGTCGACGAAGCGGAGCCCTGAAATTAAAAAAACCTCTCCTACCCACAAAAAACAAGGACAAAGAAAACAGAAGTAGAAAAGGCTAAAACAGTCTTATTAGCTCCTCACAGCTCAATCTCACCAAGAAAGATCTTTTTATCACTACCCCCGGAGAGTAAAATAGGCTCGAGCGGATGGAAGCCAGTTTCATTGACGGAAGCCGAGTGACCGGGAAGTTTGTAGATCAGGTGGCGAGTTGTCACGTCCCAGACGTGCACGTAGCGATCACCGCTGCCACACGTGACGTACCGGCCGTCTGGTGACCACGCACATCTCAAGAGGTTCTTTTCAAAGGTGTGGACGTGACCTTGGAGTAACTAAATGAAAATGGAAGAGGTTAATAACGTCGACTAGATAGGACAAGACTTAAAACGCAATGCTTTTCGTCAGACAGTTGTTAAGTGCTTAGTTAATGCAACCATAATTGAAAACACGATTTAAATTCATGAATTTTTAGAGACTACCCATAGTGACAAAACAGTGGCGACATCCAGCTTGATTTAAACAGGATTATAACCGACAGGACCCGGACGTGGCACACACAAGACAACCAGAAAAACACGCACTTTTGTGCATCTTTCGGTCGGCGCGTATGGTTTCACATCCCAAATACGCAGGGTGTTGTCCATTGCGTTGGATAGGAGGAAGTTGCCATCAGGAGAGAGTGCCAGGCCAGTCACTGTGTCAGTATGACCTGTCAGGCGCATGGCCACGTCCAGCTTCCGCAGGTCCCAGCCCTTGATGATGTTGTCGATGCCTCCGGAGAAAATCATCTCTGCGGTGTCACTGAATGCCACCGACAATACCTTAAAAAATAAAGAAATTGCGAGATTTCCGTGGAAAGCGGGGTGGATGGGTTAAGGATCGACAGTGACATTTGACCATTCGTTGAGAATAGAGGCTAAAACTGTGAATAGAAAAGTCAAAGAAACCAACTACCTAGTACTCAATTGTGACCAGAAAAAGGAAAGGTTACAAGAATTCTAAAAAGAAAGAGTGTGTGTGGTTTAATAAACGCGATATTTCTAATAGTAACCGACAGGCAGACGACAGATTAGCAACCAAGGCTATGTCGGGAAAAGCATGAAATATAAATTCTTCTATAAAGTACAGAGCCCATGGATGCACAAATCAAAAAGTACATTTTTGAATTAGAATGGTTTACTGCTGGTGTAGGATGTCAAAAGAAAGACAAATCAGGATGATAGAAAACGGAAACCGCAAAAGTATAAGTTAACTGAAAAATATCCAAGTTAGCGGATATATCATTAAGTAAAAGAAACAAAGCGAGGACAAAACAGCATACTTGATAGGTGTTTTGGAAGTTCTGGACCTCCGTTTTTTGACGCCTATCCCATAAACGAACAGTCCCATCATCGGAACCAGAAGCAATCATTTGAGGCCCTCGACGAGCAATATCTATACTGTTGACAATATTTTGGTGTCCTCGAATTTTTTTGACGCGCTGACAAGTAGTGAGATCCCAGATAGCGAGTGTCTTGTCTGAACTTGCCGAATAAAGTAATTCTCCGTCCGACGAGAGGGCCAAATCAAGAATGGCACCACCATGTCCTATAACAAAAAACTCCTTGCTTTAATTTTGCAAAAGGAACAGGAATGTGAATAAACAATGGGCATACCTGACATTACCGCAATATTTTCGCATTCTCCATACGTTTCCCACAAGAAAATTTGGCGATCAAACCCAGCACTCACCACATAGCTTCCTTCACTAGGCACAAACTTTGCACAAAAGACCTCGCTTTCGTGACCAGTGAGAAGCATGTTTGGACTGAAAAGGCTAGAGGTACGTCGCAAGCTCCCAGGCATGCCAGCCGGGATTATCTGTCCCTGAGCAGACCTTGGCAATTGAAATGAGGCTAGAGCTCGAGCTTCATCAGTTTTTGTACGTTTAGTTGGAACTGGAACCATTGACATCCCTGGAAAAGAGCGCTTAAGATCCATTGCCATTTTGTCACAATGAATATCACGATACAGCACTGATTGGTTGGTCTCAGGAATTTGAGATTTTACAAAAACAAATTAAGCGAGAAAACAATCTATTAATAATGGTAAAAAAGGAGTACTGAAGACTATTTAAATTTAAGGGTTTTAGCCGTGGCAAGATGCTAAATTAGCCATCGAACTTTGATGCCACTTCTTGTTCTAATTTATTCCAGTTCAGGTAAAATAATTACGTTTAGAGTGAATAAATGCCAAATCCCCACAATGTTGTAATATAAAAGATGACGACATTAAATAGCATGCAGATTCTACATTTTCTTCTGGAACCACCTGATTGTGGTGTGTGTTTTGTGTACAAAACATACACAGATAATTGATCTGTACACAAACTGTGCAATATTTTCATGCACAATGACGAATATTTTGATAAGAATACATGTTCATGTGGTCAATAAACATAAAACGCTATTAAGAATTGTCTAAAATAAGGTGCTATAATATCCTTTTTTTTTTAAATTTCTCCTATTTGCTAATTCGAATATAATCTTAGACGCAATAGCACCAAATATCCTTACATCTACATAATTTTTTTTAAATAGATGCAAAGTGAAATTGGCATTACAACTTGTAGCATAATGTGCTAACAGTATATAATGATCGAATTTTAAATTCCTTGATTGCAATTATTACTTCTCATCGAAACTTCCAAAACAACATGACATCAAAGGTTTTAGCATATATAAATGTTTGAAAGAATTAACGTGGTGAAATCGTGATTCAGTCTTAAAATAATTTTGTGTTCCATTACTTTTATTTAATGGATAAAATGGCATACTTTTCACAATACTACTATTAATGACTATTATAATTAGGGGATCCCGGTAAAGATCCCTAAATATAAAAATATCAACAAAACTTTCAACTTTATATTGGTCCAACTTAATTCGAGTGATTTTTGATTAGGAGAGCAAAATAAATTCGCATTTGGGTCTTATTCAATGCAGACATCATTAAGACAAGTTCACAAAGAACCTGTCTGCCTCAATATAATAGAATGCCTTCTTTAAATAGTTTACTGGTTAATGGAGAAGCATGCATTCAAGCAATACCTACACATTATATAAATGTCCCATGGAGCAAAAATATTCACGTCGTTAAATAAGATATCACCATTCACTGAATATGCACTTTACACACTAATTTTAATGGTCTATTTGTCTATAAAGAATTAATATTGTTTAAAACTGAAATCTGACATTATATCTGACATTTTATCTTACATAAAGTATTCTTACATAGTTACTGAAGCATAAGAAGAGTATATATGCTCAATCGTGTTTGCGAAACTGGAATTTTTATAGTTTTTAGTAGTTACTTGACAGATTGCTTACAAACAGGTCAACAATATTTTTCTTTTCTTCTAAATATTTGGTTTGTCAAAGTAAACACGAAACCCAATTATTCTCAAGGCATTTTGGACTTGAAGATGCTAGAATTTTTTGTTCTCATAGCGAAGCGTTCGCATTCGCAAAATACAATATAAGAAAGGGTTTCGAAAGTAAATACAGGAATATCTGGAGGAATAGTGTTAAAACCTAAAATAACACGAAACAATTTGGTTCTCCAACATTCAAGCTGAAAAAGAAATTAGAGATGAATTAGTAGAGATAAGTAATACTATAAATGCAAGTAATATAAGGATATTTAATACCTGAATACCAAGCTTCAAGTATGCATCACATATGCCCTAAGCTCTGAGTTTATCAACTGATTGACATTGAGACATAAAATGACCATCAACCCAACCAATCAATTGTCGACTATTTTTGCAAGGTGTACCTTACTTAAGTAAAAAAAACAGGTCATATCAAAAATAAGTACTCATGGATTCTATAAACAGTAAGTCCATACGATGTGTGCACCACCAGACACTGAGACGCATTCATGTTTTCGACATGAATAGGAACGAAGTGCCCAGAATAAGCAAGAAAGGCACTGGAACTTAAACTGGATTCCTGTGAATTTAATAAGAAAGTGGGAAAAAATCGGTCTTTGAAATTTGATAGTGCTGATAATGTTTAATTTAACAGCTTTAGAACACAATAATTTTCACCCAAAATTCGAATAAGACCTAACTGTAGTGTTTTAAATAATTTACATTGCTACGGCAGTTTGAAATGCCTGATTAGTTGAGTTGTTAAGTTTTGCTTGCACTGTTTCCACTAAAATGCCCAAGTTGTTGCTCGTTACAATAAAAACCTTCCAATATCACAATGGAAGTGACTGACGGTGTGGGTAGAACCCAGTTGGAGTACCTGATATGCATTATTTCCCCGCATCTAAAGAGCTGACGGTTGGTCTTTACCTGATCTCGCCTTCACACGTAAAATCAATACTTTTACATGTCCGGACCAATGGAATTGCTTATGTTGTCGGTAGTGGAGTTTTCTTGCTCCTCATTGGTTGCATCATTTGGTAGTTGAGCTAGAGCATCCGGTGTCAGAACTAGTGGAGGAAGAGGGGGCGGTGCAAACGAAGTGCTCGAAGACAATACCAGATTGGTCACAAGTGACGGCACTTTCACCGAGCAGTTGGTATTGTAGTGCCTCCTTCTTCTCCGTCTTCTTCTTCTTCTATGTATTTCTGAATGTTGGGATAATGGGGCGCTGTTATGTAAGGTAGCTTGCATGGTCAAAGAACTGGGTTGGCGTCGTGGACTTTTCTGAACTGCTAAGCCGGGTTTCGTAAATCTCGAATGACGTCTTTTAGGCGCCAAACTTGCTGAGGAAGTCAGGTTATACGAAGATAGCCTTTGATTCATCGCGTACCTGTTTGGCGTTAAAATAGATGATTTAGGGTTTTACAATGCTCCATTTTTACATAAGGTTATCTTGGTACTCATACCCGCCAGTAGTAATGTCGGATCGAATTGCCAGTGAAGACGAAAAATCTGCATCAACCCGGCCTTTTTCATTCCTTATAGGAATCGGGGAAGCGTAGGACCGGTATATAGGCCCACCTATACCCGTGTCAAATTCAGCGCTTTCAGCATCCTCGCCTCTATCTCCACGACTCTTCTTCGCTGGAGTCTCCGTGGCGTTTTGTTTAAATGAGACTGACAAGTTTCGCTCGGTGGTTTGAACCGAAGGCTTAGAGATAACTGGTGTTTCACGCAGACCCGGTGTTGGTGGCTTTGAGTAGTGTGGGGAATTTGCTGGACTTGATGGTGACCGAATTAATGTATAAATCGGTGAAAACTGTCTTTGCGGTGATGGATTTAGTCGTGGTGAAGGCTTCTTTGAACCGATACCGGCAGTGGCCACCGCCAACTCTGCCAAGGACGGAGACGTGGTAACGACGAGGCCATGTTTAGGCGGAGGGACAGGAATGTACATTTTCGGAGGCACCCAGAGACGCAAGGGTATCTTGTAGCTCTTGGTTTGGCGGGCCCTCGCTGTTGTCAGGCTCTCGTGATACAGCACAGTAAAGTTAGCAGGCAAGCCGTTGTTTATAAGAGACCTCGGCGACGATCGTAGCTTGACACACCAAGAATCACAGCCCGGGGAATCAGCAGGATCAGGTGGGTCTCGTGGACGGATCCCCAAAATCGGAAGAAGGGGCTGCCAGCGGCGCGCCTTCTCAAAGCACTCAATGCTGATCTCTAAAACACAGTAAATTTAATGGTAAGAGAAAAATTATCCGATAGGTGGTTGAGGGTGACTGTGAAATTAAACAATAGTTGTCAAAAAATCCGGATATGCAAAAACATGACATAGTAATTTGTATCCTTTTAGCGGAACGAGATTTCTGCATGATTTTCTGAGGCTGGCCACTCATTTTCAAATTGCATCCAAAACCTAACCTGGAGGTTATTGGTAGCAAGCAGCTTAAGTAATCATCTAATTGCACGTAAGCAGTTTAAAAATCATAGCAATGTCTTATTCACATCGATTTATCACGCCTTAACCATAGTCGTTTCCCATACAAATCTGATTGCGATGAATTACATTTCGTTACTTGGGATGATAGTTCCTAAACAGGATTAATATAATCTCGATTAAGATCGGCTTTGATTTGTAAAACATATTTAAACGTGCGTAACTCAAATACGTTCTACTCAGCTGCTTATACCTCAGTGTAAGATATTCACAAATTCTTGAATCTACTTCAGCAAATTACCGCGTTACCAAAACTTCCAATTTAAGGCTTGAACGCTTAAGGGTTGTGGACTCTTTCCTGAAGTTTGAAAAAACATGCTAACATGAAAGATTTTCAATCATTAATTTCAACTAGGCAATTAAAATGCTGCATGCATTATAAAGGAGAATTAAGCAGAAAGGTTAGCGTTTAGTTAAATACGTGAAGATAGACTTGATTGGACTACATAATATTTTCGTGAACACCAAGTGGGTCAAGGATTTGGGATTTTAATGCTACGACAAGTTTTAGATTCAAGAATAATGATATCACAAACTATCCACCGTCCTAGTTAAGGCAAAACACACTTCCGACTGCTCACAGACGCAAATAAAGTTTGGTTTCAATTAATTACAACAGTCCAAAGAAAAATATTTAAAACCTACGAATAAATTTGTTGACAATGGGAGGAATCACCTGCTTCAGTGCTTCGCAGTTAGTGTTCATCGCAGGATTCGAGTTAATTTCAATCAGCCATACCTATGTAATGAATATGCAGCAAAAGGGAGAAATTGTATTTACACTAGAACTCTTTAGGATCGTCAGCCAGTTCCACCGAAAATATATTCGTCAATCGATAAGTAAAACGTGGTGAGCAGGATTCACCAACCTTTATAGTGAATAAAAAAATTTCCATTTTTTTCGAATCACAGTAAAAAAGGATTTTAAGTAGGATTATCATTGTTCTGGGCGTTTCAATTTGTCACATAAATCAACAACATTGACCACACCTTTAATGAGCTGTCGATCATGAAGTCCATGCCGTAGATTTCGAAGAAACCAACACGACAAGCCAGCTTGTCCTTAACTGCAGAAAACACGTGCGTAGATATTCTGTGCATTTCTGGCTAAAAGAGACAGACATTTGACAGACACAAAACTCTTCCAACCCCTTAATTTGGTAGGTTGTAAAGTGGTAAATGCAAATAAATACCATAATGTACATGGCAGTTTAAAAATGCAACAATCGAGTAAGCATAAGGAAATTAAAAAAGACGGGTGTAATCAAGGACAATATGACTAAATCTGGTAAAAACTCCAACTGTACATCATGTCAATATCGCTTTTATTGGCAAATTAATTACGTGAAAATAATCTACAATCCGTGTTAAGAATATTGGCATTCAATACGGAAATATCATAGACTTACAATACATGACATTAATACTTTAAAAACAGAGGTGACATATAATGTACTTAGTTGGTTTTGTTTTAAATCGTCATCGAGGAATATATCTTGAACTGTCCAAAATCAAAAGTCGCGGAATATGGTGACATGAAAACATCAGACTAAATATTTCACGTATTTCACCTTATAGGCGTGAATTTTCCGTCTACTGAAATTCTGTACAGTTTTTGGTTTTGATGGCTGAGGAATACAATTTTTGGATGTATAGACCAGAAATTAAAAAAATGTTTTCATCTAATTAAGTAAAATGTTTTTTTAATTATAAAAACATTAATTAATGATGCTCACCAAAAGTTGCCGAGTAACCCAGTTTCTCTGCAGACGTCTCACCGGGGCCACGTAAGTGTTTATGTACTCATTCAGTCGGTTAAATGTCCACACAGTGTCTTCCTTTAATTTCTTGTAGTGAGGATCTTTCTTTTGCACAAACTAAAAATTAAATTAGGGCAGTAAACCAACAGTGGTGCCTTAGAATTAAAATTCGCTATTGCAGCATGAAAAAAACTTATTGGTGAATTGTCGTGGGAGTAAGTTGCTAGCTATTAATGTTGCCTCCTTGCAACAAAATCGACAAGGTTAGTCTTGAATAATGTAATGCTTACGTTGCTGTCAGTAAAACGAATTATTGTTAAAAAATGCATGCACATGAGGAAATAACGGAAAATCAATTAACCTTATTAGTAAAAACGCGAACGAAAACCCCTGTAGAATACCCGAGCCCAACAACCTAATTTTAATTGAGCAAGCCGGCTAGTATGGTCGATTATAACTACCTACCAATCAGATCAGGCTGAAAACAAGAATCGAAGCCAGTTATGCTTTCTGAGGCTGACGTCAATTAATCAGATACATTTGGAGGGCCGACAATTGGGCTTGAGTCCTAACCTGATTTGTCAGATGAGTTACGAGGTCAGTGTCATAGGGGTTGTATTTCCGAAGTGATAGTCGTACGTAGCCCGGCGAGAAGAGGACTAAATATGGCATCGTGCTGACGATCATTAGGTAGCAACGAATGTCAAACTTCCTGTCGTTCAGCACGAGGGGATTTACTAGGTACCTGCAAACACAATAACGTGGCTAGTGAAAACGGTGGCTAATTCGCACCGTCAAACCACAATTAAAATGTAACAGTTACTTAAATAACACGAGTAGAGTTATTTTTAGGCACATTAAATTTTAGTTTCCAAGTTGGGTAATTACGGTTTTCCGTTGGTGCACCATTAAAGTTTTAAATTTTTACATGTCGAAATTAAGTTAAAAAAATGAAAACAGAGTACTGCTGTGATATGTCACTTTTACACAGCTATATTTAACTTTGACCTACTTCTGAACGATTCGCGGCCTGCACATTCGGGGGTTTCTCCGAATCTCCTCCATCCGAGCCTCCTCGATTCGGTCAAAGTCGAGGTGCGACCGGATAAGGCTGATGCCCTTTCCTTGATTCAAACCGCATGGCTTAAAAATCCAGAGTTGTTCATCTACGGTGCAGAAAATATCAGAATGAATTTATAGTTGTAACGTTGATACTTTTTACAATTTAGTAATATATGATTTTGTAAATTTATCCTTCATACGTGTTGATCAGACATGCGACCCTATAAAAAGCCAATTTAAGTAGTTACCCAACCTAGGTGGAAAAGTTTTGACAATCCATGCGTACCGAAGCCACAGATCTTGTTTGAATCGACCACTGATTTACCACGTATTTAAATGAGAGGCCTAATGCTACTTTGCATGTTTGGATTCGCGCATCGTCAAAAATTTGTACCAAAACATGAACCCGACTGGAATAAGCCAACCGCCTTGAGATGTTTAAACCGACCGCCAGTTAGCAAAATTTTGTTCAACGACAGTGTCACATTTAAACAAAACCCGTGTACACAGCCTGCTGGGCATTTTGGGGCAATAGCAGTCCATGGTAATTGCGAAAACGAACAAGCCTGCTTTAGTGTGGTTTTTTACAAACTAGAGATACTTTTAAATTGCCACTTTGACGCTCACTGCAGAGTTTGTGGATAAACGTCTGTTTCTCCTTTGGGTCGTCGATCCAGTAGGTCTCTGGAAGGAAGTTCAAAGAAGAATCCCTTCGCGCGGTAAGTCGGCGCTTCGCGGCATAGTCGCGAACACTCAGTAGGAGTCCAAGTTTGTTGGTCAAGTGGCCGCAGTTGGGAATGTGGTTAACCTAAAAGCAGTCACCAGCATCACTCGGTTGTCTGGTTCGTTGCCCTGCATCAGTGACCAATCAGCGTAATTGACCTTGAAATAATTCATCCAGCAAACGGTTGCGTGTGTTCGAGGTCAAACATCAGTGGGATCTCCGCTTTGAACACGTTTCACCTTCCACGAAGGTGAATGTTTGAAGATAGACTCTACGGCCCTCAAGCTGTCTACCTCAACACAATCGACAACACACCCCTGCCGTGCCATCACCGATCAAGGGTGGACGTTGCAGCTTCGCCCCCATTGGGTGACACATTTTGTAAGCAAAAAGTGATTGCATCACTTTGATTGGCGCTTGCCAAGGTCACTTAATAATTAACCAATCGTGTACAGATTGTCTTAACAGGGGCATCCAAGTACCCAGTTTATTCGATTTAACTCAGCCAGCCATAGAAATACGAGTCAATTTTGAGACCCTAACGCAGCCATTCGTCACACTCACCATCTGCTCACATTCCTTGAATATTTGGTAGTTTAACTGTAGAACAGTCTCAGTCCATCTGAAACAGCAATTCGGAATTTCTCGCCGGTCGTACACACGACTCCATTCTAGCCGACCAAGCACTGGAAGAACTCTAGTTGGGGATTTGATGAAAAAAATTAATTTTAAAATTAAGGAGACAACAGTTTCTGATGTCAACGTGTGCTGGTTAAAATTTCGTAAAACTGACCAATCAGCGTTTACGTGTGGGTGGGCTTCCGAGGAAGTACCTACTGAAGTCACTTTAATCAAGCAACAATATGAGAGCATAGGAATATCTCCAGTAAAAAAACGTTTTAGCAGTGGGGTTGAGGTCGCTTATAAATTGTAAGTAGTTTAAAGTGGCCACAGAAATGTCTTGGCACGAAATCTTGCTACAGTAGGAAATTAAGGAAAAGATAATATCCCATGATAGACTGATGTTATGCCCATTCCCCTCGCATTCATTGTTTTCTTCGCAAAATGGGACCCAAGCTGATGTTAGTAGTGTGGCGACCAGCAAGCCAGCACTCTCAGCATTCGTGAGCGAACGCAAATCAATCGATTTTTACCGTGAACGTACTGTAGTGGACAGACAGCAACCGCGCGTGAGTGCTTCCCCGACTGTATCAATGACTTATCCTCTTTGTTATTGATTTTTGTTAGCAGTCGCCTGTAACGCACGCGAATCGATACGCACACGGAAGTCGGTTTCACGATTTTACTCGACTCGACTAGACTGGCGTGTAGCGTGCGTTCTCTTTCGACTCTGCCTTCTCTTTTCTCGATTTGTGACCGGCTGTTATCTACAGGGTTTTGTGGTAGTGCTAATTTAGGCCCCTACAGTAGCGACACCTTTGTCTAGCAGTGGGCACATGCTTGTACAGCATTCACATCCGATTACTGAAGGCTTGAATTTGTGTAAGTTAGGTCACGTAAACATGTCTCCCCAATTAAAGCAACTGACATCTTTAATTGGACATTTTTCGTAGTCTAGGACGTTAAGGCAATTAGTTAACTACCCGCTTGAGTTTTCTGATTTGTCAATGAGTTTTCAACCGCCTTGAGGTAAAGATGTTGGCGATTTGCTAATCCCGACATCGTGGATTTTTTTCGGAAGTGAAATGCACCCTAAGCGTCCAAAAACCAGGCCTCCATCCCAGACACTCCAATGTGGGATGCAGGTTGTGTGTCGGATTTCATGCAAGTTAATTTCGGCCGATTTTAGAGTTGTCGAAGGGTGGCAGCCTAACGCATCAAACACCACGCCGGCATTCCACACTACCTACGAGTGAGTTTAAACTACGACACTCCCCAGTTGCCGAGTGCATGACTCACAGATGGGCTCCATTGTAGCAGTTGATGAAGAACATGGGCTTCGTTGGGCCGGTCACCTGAGGCGCCTCGTCGACGTCGCCTCGTTGGGTCTCAGCTAGGACTGCGGCGGCGCAGGGTTCAGCTGAAGTTGGCGGCGGCGGTGGAGTGGGTTGCTCGGGCAACAGCGGAGGCAGCAAGTCGCACTCAGCTGCCTCCTCGTCTTTCACGACGTTATCCGACGACCTTGGCGTGCACCACCGTTGGCAGTTTACAAGCGCAGACTCATCGATAGCCGAGTTGTGGATCTGTTGTAGCTTCGTTGAAGGCTGCCCCATGTTTGAAGATTTGGCTCAGTGGGTTCAGTTTGTGGTCTGCTGATGCAAGCAGGGTCCTAGCATCGGTGGAGCATTGGTGAAGGCGTGGGAGAGTTGTTTTTGCCTGCGCTCAGCCAACGTGAAAGGCGCCGGATCGATGGAGCCCTCGTGTGACCCCTCGTGACAACCACGTGACCCCCGAGTTGTCCAATCACAGAGCGACCAGAGCGCATTACCCACTACTAACGTGAGGATATTTCGGTTTCAGGTTACCAACAGCGCCTTTCAAAACGTCTCGCAAAAGATATATATATATTTCTTGTATTTTCAAAAAGTTTAACAAAGTAAGAGAAATTCACAGCCGTGTAGAGTCGTTGGCAGGAGAGAGAGAGCAAGCGAGCCTACAAAGCAGCCTGTCCGACCTGTTGAATGAGGCTCTTCGTGGAGAGCATCTGCGAGGTGACAATGAGGAGGCGCCAGCAGCGTCGCGACGCCGCGAATCGCAGAGCGGCGACCTCGGCGTAGGTGCAACCGCCCACAAAGGCCACCACCATCGTCTGACCGTGGGACAGCGTGGTGGTCTTCGTCGTTGTCGTCGAGGAGTCGGCGGCAGCGGTGGAATCTTCTGAGGCCTCCGTCAACGAAACATGTCCAAGATTCTTCGCGGCTGGTGTCGGCAGAACAAGGGAAAAACAGTCAGAAACACGGATGTAGAAAGAAGGCATTGGTTTTTCATCGCGTCTGATTCACGCGAGAACAGGACTCATCTACGAAGCGGATGTGGACAACCCAGGGACGTTCAGTGGTGGTACGAATACATCACTGTAATTTAAACTAGCTGGAACACTATCTGGATCAGAATTGAGTGCCCGTTCACCTAGCACCACGAATAGTACTACTCATTGGTTGGTGTGGACGCGTTTGACAACGCGATGATTCACCTCCATCGTCGCACACACAACCCCAGCCACTCTCAAATCCTATTGGTTGACAGCCTCCGTCATTAATGTTCCTTGTGTCAAAAACGCATGTACAGACAACGAATTGGGTGAAGTTCTCAGATGGTACACACCCCTGTCCCAGACACTTTGTAGAACTGAGATTGAGGTCGCTTAGAAATATTAAGTAGTTCTGAGTAACCAAAGAAGAAGGAATCATGACGCATATAGCCTACATCTTTCGTCAGTGTGCAACAAGCGAAGGGCCTCGGTGAGTTGTTCGCGTTTCAGCAACTCGAGTCCGCTGAACTGCGATCGGCCTGCCCCACTGTCCCCAGCCAATGACGTTGCCCAGAGGGATTCAGCCAATCGCACAACGACGGGAACATGCTGTCCGCCAAACACGTAGGAAGGCGATACCGCGGGCTTTTCGACGCTCAAGTTGACCTGAGACTTCAAGCTCAGCTGGAGGAAGCGGTGGAGACGGCTAAATGCAGAGAGCAAAGTGAAGGAAGTCGCACCCTCCTCTTCAACACCGAACTGCTCATCTACGCAGACTGAGTAAAATGTACTTGTAGACAGACTTCCTGCGCCTCATGAGGCGTTCCGTGGCGCTGACGATTTTTTCAGTGCTGACGGGCGTCAAACCGAGACGGAAGTTGGAGGAGGAGGAGGAGGCAGCCTCGGACGCAGGGTCTCGGCGCCGTGGGTGGAGCAGTTTGAGGCGTCTGAGAGCCGCCAGCATCGGGTAGATGGAGAAGCCGACGGCGTGCTGGATGTGCCGGAGCACCTGGGTGTAGAGCTCCTCGCTCAGACCGTCGTGGGTGATGGAGAGGAGGCACAGCAGACGCACTGCCTCCGTCAGCCGATCTCCAAATCTAAAGTGGGACAATAGGCATTCCTGTCTGGTTTAAACGCTCCCATTGGATGAAACGCTACCCGCAGTTCGAACTCAATGAAACGCTACTAGTTTTCAACCACGCAATCTCTGACTTGGAGGAATTAACTTCAAACATCCTGGCATTGAGTTTTAGGTTGCAAACGCCACACAAACCTCGTGGAGAGCCACTCAAGAGCCAGACGAAAGGGCTGGCAGGTGGCCTCGTCGGCGCAGGTGCCAGTGGCAGCTTCCGGCGGCATCTGATCGTCACTCTCGTTGGGCAGAATCTCGCGACCCAGTGGCATCGCCAGGGCACCACCACTGCCCGACAAGAGGATGGTGGTCTGGGCCGAGAGCAGATCCTCGACGCGCTCCTCGTTCGCCATCTTCTTCATGACCTTGGAGGGGGAGAAAAAACCTAACCAATCAGTTTGCACGCATTCAGTACCGCCGTGTAGACACATAAAGCTGCCTAATCCAGACCCCTATGCGTCCTCACATCATTAAATATCCAATTTTCCTTTTTCCCAAGTTCAAATATACATTTAAAATAGGAACGCATAAATCAGAAGGTTTGTCGGGGCAGGTGCTACCGCGTTGAAGACCATTAACGAGGAGTAGAGGGGAGGAGGGGGGGGACAGGGAAATGGTTTGGGCGAAACCGCATTTTTCCCGCCCACCTCAACTCCACTTAAACGAAAACTCCCGACACGAATTAAAATTGAAACGCAATTTTCAGGTAAATTGGATGGAGGCAATCGGCAGAAATTAAAGTAAATGATGTGAGAGGTACAGCCCACTTTTTGAGGGTCTAATCTTGACCTTGATGTGTTGGAGAACATGAAGGAGTGGTCATGTTTGCTCGATGTCCTTCAAGATTCGCCGTCCGGACACACTGTTTACCCAACAAGCTGTTCGTGTCCCCCACCCAAGTCCTCTCACGTCCTTGTAGTCCCACGTGTTCCTCTTTGTACTGTTATCGCTCGTTATCGTGCACTCCGACT